CTTTTTTTTTTTTAATATAATACCATATCATTGGAAAGATATCCTTTGACGAAAAAATAATTCGTATCTCCCGTATCCTTTGATGTTTCGCCTTGACTGAGGCATATAATCTTCTCAGGGAATGTCTCTTCCACGCACTCGCCTATTCCCCTCCTCCCATTTTATCGTCTTATATTTATCTCATACGTTCATCATTTCCACGAGAGCAAGAGAAAAACATTCGACTTCAACTCGAAACTCTAACGAATTCCTCGAATCATGATCCCGAATATCGTAGCCCAAAGGGGTGCTCGATCCTTCGATCCGCGAATCGGTATAAATATTAATACCGTAGAAAGAATCTTTCCTTGCCCGTGTATTTATCTGCCGTTCCCAAGGGGAGAGCTATGAAACCCCGTTTCCATTTCGATCCAATTCTAGACACGATCCAATATCGGACGGCCATAACTCGACCCCGACAAATCGCGATTCATGCACACACACACACAGGATGCACGATGGATATTAGGAATTCCAACGGATGCGTTCTCGAAAGACGTTATGCATGCACGAGTTACGACTCTAAGCCGTAAGGTGTCTTGGAGTCGTTAGTAACCGTCAACTTCGCGGTGAGGGGTCATCGTCGCAACCCTTTTGTCGTTGCAAGAATGCGATCCAAGGAATATTTTGATTCGTTGCTCCTCGCCCGCGAAATTCGGCATTTCGATCGGCGAAACTATGGCAACCCTGTTCAAGAGGCGAGAAACACACCGTAGAGGGATGGAAGCGGGGATAACACGAAACGAAGCGAAGAGGTTGAAGCAAAAGGGTGAAGTTTCGTTTTATTACGAATGGGCAATCGATAACGCGGCAACCGCAAGTTTAATGAGTGGAAGCAGCTGTCCAGGTGGCATTAGTCACCACCGGGATGTAATTTGTGGCCCACGCCCTGTTACGCCTGCATCAAGGGTGAAGAGGGGGCGAGAGAGAGGGCGAACGCTCGTTAAATGGCGTTATTCCCGATTTGCAATCGTTGGAATTGGGGCAAGTGTATACTTTTGCGTTTCGTTGTAATAATAAGTGTTGAATGGTGATGCTTTGACGATCATTCGTTAATGGAATCTGGAGGATGCGAAATATCCGAAATCAAATTCACTTTGCTACGTGACTTTTCGAATGAAATAAAAAATTCTTGAATCACGCTCTAATACTGTAACATAAATATCTTTCCTGCCAAGAAAAATTTTCCATAATTCATTAGGAGGAACATGATTCATCGGAAGCCATTAATCCGGTAAGATAATCGATCCTTGGTGATCAAGGTGAAGTATGGACGCATCGGTCGATTTAGATCCACCACAACGCCGCATCTGGACGTACATCTCGAGAAGCTCTAGTAGCGGCGTTCGAAATTAATTCCTGTTTGCAATCGAGGCAGGGGCATCGGTAACAACTGGATACAGTTTCAACCGCAACATTTTGCGCTGCATCAACGAAGTTAACAAACACGATGTGTGCTTCCAACGTTCGACATTGTTCCGTCCATTGTTAATTGTCCAAAGGATATATATGTACATAAATCCGACGAGATGAAGGGGCACGTTTGGTCCTCTTGGCGGGCACAAAATCTCGCGTACTCGAGTTTACAACGATTGTCATTTTGGCTCGTCGAACGTAGCTTCTTCTGTTTTAACTGTTTCATTCATATGTCGCGAAAAATGATGGAATGGAATTTCGAAATTCTAAAATGCATTATGCATTAATGCACATGTTAAAGAGGCAATTATTTTGATGGGTTCATTGGATCTGATGAAGTTTTTTTTTTTAGACTTTATGCTATTTCCACAATTGTATAAAATCTTTTAAATATCTATTTTTAAAATAGTTCAAAAAAGAAAATTATACAAATATTCGCGACAATTTCAATGATACGCCGACGAAAATGGATATCGTGCCGGGTGAAATTAACGAAGGGACCCCGATTAATTACAAAACGCTGCATATTATTTTCCAATTCCAACGGCAAGCAATGTTATTACGTTTTTCAGGGGGCATTAAACACGGCCGTAAATGAATTCGATAAATTGCCACGCGAAAGAAGGAGGGACAAACAGATGTAAAGCGAATGGTAAATGAACCAATTGATGCTTGCTTTAAAAAAAGAATCGAGATGAAAATCGGAATAGGATTTGGCTCGTTCGAAAACGAGACTAAAGAGACGGAATAAGAGAAAGGCGAGAACGCGTGATCGAAATAGAGCCAACTATAATTGTTATTACGCGTTGGAACGCGTAGATATAATCAGGTTACACACAGGCAAATAACATTGATTTTCAATGATCGCTATTATTGGACAAGTGGTTGGACAGCGTGGAAGCCGCAGTGGCGATTTTCCTTTCGTCCCCTATACTGGGGGATTTATCTAGTGATTGATTCCAATCAGTTATCCAACTGTTTATCGAATAATCAATGCCGCCGTCTGTTCGACGATGAGGTGCATGGAAATTACATTTCGCGTACGCGTTCCACGATATGGGGGTTGTTTCGTCATTGAAAATTTACGCCCCTGTTCATTTGCCGATAATAACTTTAAATGAAAATGGAAAATTGGAGAAATTGGAAATTATCGAGGCGCGTCGATAAAAGGCCATTTACGCTTTAAGATGAAAGCTTTTTCGAAAGGACGGAAATTTTCACATCCTTCCAACAATTTTACGACGAAAAGTAAAAAATATTTGAAACCACTCACGCAAAAGTATTTCTCTTAAAAGGATATTTATCCAACGCTTAAAAAATTCTGATTTTTAATGAAAGATACTGCAGGCAAGGGATAACAAATTATACAATTTTGTTCGAGTATATTTTTCGTTTGCGGAGGTAATGAAGCATTAAAACCCGAATATTTCGTGATTTAAAATAAAAAGAGCCATTATAAAGTTATATTTAAAAAACCGAAACTATAAAAATTGATTTCACCCTGTCAAAGGTAAATCGTTATCTCCGCGTGTGTACAATTTCGCCAAAAATTGAATTTTAATGACGCAACTTGTCGATCGAGTATACGACCATAAAAATACAAGAAAAAAAGAAAAAATATATATCTCCAAATTGCAAAATCCTGTCCTAATAATAAATCCATAACTTGACGAATCCAATCCAAAACCGTCCAAAATTGAACTCTTCTCCAGTGAAACGAGTCAATAATGATGGATCGAGGCGGGAGGAGAGGACGTCAAATAAAGCAGAGTTGAAGAGAAAGAATGGCTAATGTATGGGCGGACAAACAATATTATAAGCTAATTTCCCGGAATCGCGTGCCGTTTGTTCGTTACGGGGGGGCAGGCCGTGGATTAATTTCATCGAAATGGTGCAATAGGCCGTGGCCGGTAACACTGCAATATCAATTTGACCCGGCGAACGGTCCATCGGTTCCGCGGAATTGTAAACAGACGTATTCAAAGGGGGAGAGGCCCTCGTTTTGATCGTTTCGTTCGTCGTATTATTTAAACAATGCGTCTTTTTTTGCATCCCTTGAACGGTACATCCAACATTTCGAAACGTTCGAGGAAAATCATCGACGTCATCTTCGACACGAGATATATACGTTAAATTGTTGGTAGTAGGGTTCCATAATTTTATGGAATGGATACGTTTAAATATTTCAACGTATCGAATGAAAAATGAAAAATTGCCGGGAAGGGAATTTCAATTGAATCGAGAAAGATAACGCGCTATTAGAAAGATCGATATCGAAAAAGTTTTTGAAAAGGAACCTTTTAAAGTTTCAAATTCATGTTAAAGTATTTAAGAATGATTGGTTATGATTTCGTTGAAGAATAAATCTTTGGGAAAGGAAATTTTGGAGTGTCAAGATTTTACGATCTTCGAATTTTATAGGCCATTTATCAATCGATTAATCGTTTTAATACCACGACCAACACCAACCTTTTCTTTTCGAGTAGATTCTCTATTGTTCTTTCGTTATACTTTCGTTATACAATATGCTGTTTTTCGTTGGAAATGTTATTTGAATAAAACTAAAAACTGAAAATGTACTTTTAGGGTAGTTTTAGTTAATACTCGAAACTGTTAACTGTTATTTGGATAAAACTTTGTTTTTTAAACTGGAGACGCGTACTTGAACTCGTTTAGCTTCGCGCTATCCCAGACTGGCATGTAGAAAATTCAAGTTTTCTCGTGCTAAAAGTTACGCGAAAAAGTTCCAATTGTTTAACGAAAGTAGTTCGTTGCCAGACGGGTCGCAACGTATTTCTTAAAATACTCAAGCTCGGCATAAAAAATAAATTTTGTTCGATTAAAGAAAAAGAAGATCGCAAGAAGCTCTTTGAAACACGATTTTTTATTAAAAAATTTGCGAATTTTTGCGATTTTTTTTTTTTATTTTTATCCGAAATATTAACTCGCGCGATCATAACGTAAAACCAGAGGAATCTTTCGCGCAGAAATCGATAGACCGATACCACGTTACTCCGATATCCGATATCGAGGCGTCTTCCTTTTAATAGGTAGACCGAGACGTAGGTAGCCGGCCTACTACCTCCGACATACTTTTATGGCAATCAATCGAAGCCGTAAAACCTTTTCAAGTCAACACACGACCCATACAGATCTGGTTTCTTGACCACCACCGTTACACCATCTCGAGGAATGTTACGACCTAACCAGACTCGAATCACGTCCAACCCGTTTACGTTCGAAACCTGGTTTGATTTGTGTATCCTTCTTCCTTGTGCGTTTCCAACCAACGTGGGTCACAAAAAGTAAGTAGTAATATAACCTTATTTGAGAAATAAAATTATCGAGCAATCATTTCTAGAATTGTGCTATTTCTTAAAAAAAAATAAATAAATTTTTATACGGATAAAGATTCGAATCTTCGCGTAATTCTTCCTCCAACTCGTTTCCACTTAAAACGCTCGAAACAAGGAATATCAAGATATAATAGAAGCTCGGAAAGAGAAGAATTCGCGAATTCTTACATAGGCAAAAATGGGACTTACCTTAAGCTGATGTTGCGGTCGTCTGAGCGCACCCTGGTCTCGTCGCCCGCCTAGACGATCGGCCTCCGCTTCCAATCCCTCCATCGAGGACTCAGCTTCGCTCAACCAAGCCAAGAACTTGTCCAGGGACCGGTCGAAGTTGTGGAGGGAGTTCATCGCGGAGTGAAGCAGTTTTCCTCGATTGATGATGCTAAGAAGGATTTAACAAGATACAGCCATGCTCGCCACCGTGCCCGATTCTAATTTCAAACGTCTCTGTACAATTTCCAATTTCTATTCCAACGAATAGGAAAGAAAAATTCCAAACAGAATCATCCAAATCGATATTGCAATGATAAATTCTATATTCGTTTATTAAAAAAAATAAATAAATAAATAAAGAGAGCGAGAAGCGTTGCAAAATCTAAAAAATCTAATACCTGGTGTTGAGGTTGTTGTATCTCTGATTGATGGTCTCGGTCATCTTTTTCACGCGGGTCGTGTCGTCCTCTTGATAAACGGCGATCAGCTTCTGCGTGAGCTGATTGAACTGCTCGATCTGATGCTTGTACTGGTGGAGCTCGGCGTGGAACGACTGCAAGCATCGAGAGGCGATGAAATAAAGCAAGTAGGGAAGGCGGTAAACTTATCTCGCGGCCCGCTTCGGGTCCGTCCATCGAAAACTCGCGTCCCTCTCGATAACTCGCGGAAGTTAAATCTTGGGAGGAGGACGACTCTGCCTTCCAACTTTTATACCGTGGTGGAAAAGTTTTATTTGAACGCGGCGCGACGATTCGCGTCGATAAAACTTACGATAATCCAGATTAAACCGTCGAACCGGAAAACGTGTTCTTATTCGTCGCGCTCGTCTAACGAATTATCTTGGATTTCAACTCGAAAGGGACGTCGAAGGGAATAAAACATCGTTCTCGTAAGAAAGAGTAACGAGACGAGAATAATGTAACGTATCAGAGAAACGGAATCCCTGAATGTGAAAAATATCGAGCTTTCCAGAAACCAGTAAAACACACGAGGCTAATTTGATCATTAGCCAAATAAACGATACGAATATTTCCAAATTACCTTACGTCTTTCTTTCAGTATTCAAACATCGAGGAGAGAAATCTTCGAGATAAAAGAACGAGACCTTTCATCGATGGCTCCTCTATAATTTCTCCCTCTTCTATTGTTACAAGCGAGCAAACCACGTTCGATAATTCGGGGATCGACACGAGGAGAGGGGGGAAAAAGGAGGGGGCGTAATAATAGAGAAAAGGTAGAGGAACGAGGTGAAGCCCGGGCGAAGATATCCCAAAGATACGTAACGTTTCCTCGGCGAAATAAATTATTCCATGAATATCTCATTCGACTCTTTTGAGTGTAAACAGAATTGCGTATTTCCGCGTGACGCGCTACACGATCTCGCGTTGATTGATTGGAACTTCGGCCGTTCCTTTTACTCCCCTTCCCCGTGCCGCCCTGCTCGGCCATTTTTCCCCCCGACCAGTCGCGTTATTCCGGTACACAAAGCGGAACGTTGGGCTAAAAAGAGGTTACTAGCTACTGCTACCGGGATGAATACCGATTCGTTCGTTCCCTTTAATCGCGGTCGCGGCCTGTAACGAACCTTCTAGCTGCCCATTATACCCGTTTCTTTTTGTATATCTATTTCTCTTTTTCTTCTTCTTTTTTTCTTTTTTTCTCTTTTCTCGAACGATGCTCCCAGGTTAGATTGCACCGGCGAAAGAAGAAGCTTTATTCCGTCGTTTGCGTAATTTTCTGACGGCAATTATAAATCACGAGATTATCGCAAGTTGTTGCAAATTTAACATCGTTGAAATTTTTATTATCCTCTTTCCTTGTTATCGGAATGGAAGAACTGGACGTGTATATATAAAAGTATAACAATCGAGCCTCGTTCGTTTATCTGAAAATTTATCGATCCGCTTAATAATCACAGACATCTTTGTCTCATTTTTCGAACAAATTATTTGAAACGTCGTCTAAAGAAAATATATCTTTCCACGTATACGAGATCCACCATCAAAATCGATCGTAATAATTATCAATCGTGCCCGCCTACAACGATTTAAACTCATTTACCCGGTTGCCAATACCGGAATTCCCTGATGGCCATTCGTCCAACCATCCATCTAATCAACGCGAATTGGCGCGATCAAACGGTGGTCGCCTTCTGTTCTGCCCGTTGCACGGGCCATCGAGGGACGAAGAAGAGACAAAGAGGGCGATCCCCCGAGGGGAGCGGTCGGACTCGACGGGTTAATATGGAAAACAGGCCGGGTTTCTGAAGAAAGGAGGGAGAAAAATGCGAGAAGGAAAGAGAGAGAGATATATATACGTATATACGTACCTTTTGTTCCCGGAGCTGGGCCTCGAGAACGTCGGCGGTGTGGCCGACGGCCCGCATTTTCTCAAGCCGAGTCTCCATTCGCGCCAACCAGACCTCCACCTCGTTCCTTTTCGCCTCGTATCGCTGGCTGTCCCCGAGCATCGCGTCCAACTCCGTCTTCCTCTGCATCATTTTCGAGTTCATCTCGTCCCAGTGCTCCCTCAGCTTCGTAACTGAAACAACAATCGGGCGGACGTTCTCAAACGTTCTCCTTTATATCCATTATACATCTCGATATTTTTCTTCCTCTCTGTGTCCCATTGCGTGTGTGGAAAGAAACAGGCGCAACGTGATACTGTCGAAGAAAATGCGAAATTAATATGAAAGGAAGGGGATAATGTTTCTTACTCGTGTATTGCGATAAACGTTAAAAAGTGAACCGTATTCGCCATGTGAAGGGAAAAAATGGACGCGTATTAAAAATAATCTCGATTAAATCGTAACGTCAAGAGTATTAAATTTATAGTTGCGCGCATTTACGAGAGTACAAATATTTTGCATAAATACGAATCGACGTTCGGAATTATCCATTCGGGAAAAAAGAGGTCGTAACGTGTGATCATCTCAATATTAATGGCACGACTCTCAGCCTCGTTACGAGATAATTGGCGATAAACGACGATCGTTGAAAGTTTCGAGATTGAGTTGAAACGTCGAGTTGTCTTCGACGTAGATAGCTGCTAAAGATAGCGACCGACCATTTTCCAGGACAGGTGATGATTTATGCGTTTAGCATCAGAGGATGAGGTGAAATACTACTCCGGTGAGCAAGATACGATCGCGTATTCTTCTATGAGATAGGGAAAAAAGAACACACAATAACTCGTTAAAAGAATTAACTTGTTAAAGGGGACACACGCCACGGGATTATTAAAAAAGCCAGTGACAAAGGGAACACGAATTCAATCTGTTTCTCGTTAGAAATTCATTTCGTACGAATCTGCCTTTTATCGCGGAACAGATAAAATGGATAAAAATGTACATATATATCTATATATATAGGGACAAAGCTCGGGAGAAGTTTAGTTATCATAACCGATCAGTTGTTCCTTTTCCAAGGAGCAATTCGAAAAAGAGATTAAACTTTCATCGTTCTCGATAAGAAAGAAAGCGCACGAATAAATAAAACCTATCTCAATCTATTCGATTAATCGATCGATCCGCTCGTGAGAATTTCATTTGCGCGCTTTCCGTTGGGAAACGGAAGGGCGGTTTGCGATTTTAAAACAAAGCTTTGAATAATCGATGGAGCCGCATAATTGATATTATTCGCGGGATTAAACGTTCCGACACGCGACTCCAACTCAAGAGAGAGAGAGAGAGAGAGAGAGAGAGAGAGAGTTGTGTACAGAGGGTCGTTAATCGAACGGCGAGAAAGTGGGCCATTGGCACGTGGCCGTTGTTTCAAGAACACCACTTCTCCGGAACAACGCGAAAGGTAAAATCCAGGTTGAAAATTCGCGCGGCAGACAACGAGAAATCAGCTGGAAACTGTCCAACCTGGAGCAGCTTAGCGGAGGGAAGAACGGCGCAGCTTTGAAAAGCGGGGGGGGTGCAAAAGCATTGGCAACGTTTCAACGTTTTCCGTAACAACAGAATTACCACGCGTGGACAACTCTGCACAATGGGATATTCTATAGTGTACCTTTGATGATGCAACGCATGTGCACGATGTTTCGCGACAGGATACCGGAGAACAGGATCGAGGCTAAAAAAAAAAAACAAAAACGAAAACAACGTAATTTCAGAGTGTTAAACATCCTCGAAACACTTTTGACGGATTGAAAACAGGCGTAGCTTCGATGATTACGTTATATTCGTATTTGTTACTTCGAATAAAAGCGTTTATTGTTGGCAGTATTTGTTAGTACGGCTGGTGATTCTTTTTTTTTTTTTTTTTTAATGGATATATAATGGCCGAAGAAAGAAAGATATATTAGATTCGACGGCGGCCAATAAACGCGTGTAATAATATTCGAAAACGACAATCTATCGGGGGCTGTTACAATGGAAGACAAACGCGCAAACATTCACAGTTCAACGGATTCCAACCGCTAAAACCGGGCAGTGCCACAATTTAGAATGAAATAGAGACGTATAAATTTTTCGAAACCGAAAAGTGCATATTGAAAAAACGAAAACAATTTTTACAAATTATCATCGATACATTTATAATACTTTATACAATACTTTCATTCGAAATAATTGAATCAATTTGTGTAAAGCAAAC